TTAGAGTTCCACCAGTTCAGCGAAGGTCTCCAAATGGACACTTTGCTGCAAAGGTATTTCTTCCATCCTGTGACTGGGGGCTATTCGGTGTGTTTTTTATGTTTAAATAGCCAGTAACTATTCAAGATCGAAGTCATATATTGAGCATTGTGAGCACCCATGGATTTTCTGGTTGTCACTTTATAGCTTTTACATTTGGTTGGTTTGACAAATGTAATGAGATTTATTGCTTTTAAACTGCAAAGACTGGGGTCCTATGTTAATGTTAAGAGTTATTGCTCCATCGGTTATTCTGTTTTGATGCCAAGAGAGCAATCTTGTTAATACAGCCCCAGCAGTGGCAGCAGGATGAGGAGCAACAGGGTAAGTCAGTGCCTAAGCAGAAGCCTCGAACACTAGACTCGCGGTTTGCCCAAGTGAAGGAAGAGCGAATGCGGGTCTTTTCAGACAAGAACAATGCTGTGCAACGCAATGGCAATGGTGGCTGGCAAAGTTCACCATCGACAAGACGCCAGTTTGACAACTAATTCCACATTTGCTGATAAGATGGAGTCATTCGGTTACACATGATGAGATGGAGTCCTACAGTTGCAGCATACCTTTTCTCCAAAGTTCAGCGCCATTTTACATTTTCTAGTTACTTGTTTTACGCAACAATCGGATTTTACTCACTGAGTAACCCTGAAACTCTTATATTCACAAATAGTATCAGTTATTTATGTCTCCAAACACATGAAATAATCTCTTTTACTTTCAGATTTTGCAATGTAAAGATGAACAGCGTCTTCTGATATTATTTATTTATGCATTTATTAATTATTATTATTATTATTATTATTATTATTATTGTCTTCCATATGACTATATCTAGGATTCTTGTATATGTGTATATATATATATAAAATATTTTTTGAAACTGGCAATTACTATAAAATTTTTAAACTAGGTGGATGGAGAGCGGAAGGGGGAAAGGAGATAAAGGGCTAAAGGGCAGGATTCTTGTAATATTATATTATTCCCATAAAGACAACATAATTTTCTCATTTTCTTAGCTTTTTGTTTTTTTGGCTGGTATTGTCATTTTCTTTTTATTCACGTACAGGAGTGTGTGTGTGTTTTTTTTTCTATATTTAATGATAAATGATATGCACCTGTTTGGTGCAGTTGATAAAAAGTGTTTTTAAAATCTAAAAACTTCAACTGCGCTAAACAACCTTCTTAGTATGTATTTGGTAGAGCTGCTGAGAATGCCTTTTCAGTTGTAGAATCACAAGCTGTACCAAACAGCTCCGGCAGATGAAAAGGCGTTTTGAGCTTTTCAGAAGTGAAAAATGGAGAAGCACAGAATTCCTGCTTTTCCGCATCTTTAATGACAATTATCATCTTCCTATTTTGCCCATCATTCTTTCACATATTTAGAACTAAAACTGCGATATATACACCACGAATTGTAACAAATCCCTAACCCCACAACGTTACGAGCCCCTTCTCCTCTTGTCAAGAGATTGCAAATGGACAGATTTGGGGTGGTTGAAAAGGCATTCCAAATCGGTCGATCTCCCTCCCCTTCTGCATCTTTGAAAATCCGAACAGGAGGAAGGAAACAACCTCCCTTCAGTCCCCCTCCCTTATCATCTTCCCCATCCCTTCTCCTCCCTTTCTGTCCTACACCTCCAATCCAAACAGTATGCAAGAAAATCGATTGGAATCTCATGGAGAACAAGAGCAGCACCAGCACTAGCAATGGGAAATCGGGGTTTGGAGATTGGGCCCGCTTGATTCTCTCTCTCTC